AGGGGTGGAATGGGACAAAAATATAAATTGGTGAAGATAGATGTTTTCGGACAATGTCTCATGTTTTCGGGCCGTATGTTTTCGGTTCACATGTTTTCGGGCAATGTCCCATGTCATCGACATCGGGCCGTATGTTTTCGGTTCACATGTTTTCGGGCAATGTCTCATGCCATCGACATCGGGCCCGTATGTTTTCGGTCCACTTGTTTTCGGGCAATGTCTCATGTCATCGACATCGGGCCGTATGTTTTCGGTTCACATGTTTTCGGGCAATGTCTCATGCATGCCATCGACATCGGGCCGTATGTTTTCGGTTCACATGTTTTCGGGCAATGTCTCATGCATACCATCGACATCGGGCCGTATGTTTTCGGTTCACATGTTTTCGGGCAATGTCTCATGCATGTCATCGACATCGGGCCGTATGTTTTCGGTTCACATGTTTTCGGGCCGCATGTTTTCGGTTCGCATGTTTTCGGGCAATATCTCGGCTATTAGTAAAACCAGGAACACCGGAACACTGGAACAGCATCATTCCGGAACACGGAACACCGGAACACTAAAAATTCTTAATTTGTTAAAAATTCTGAAAAAAAATCCCGGGGGTGTGAAAGTATTGCTGCAATAATTATTGCGTAAAACGTGCCTTTCTGACCGATAGCTACTAATAACGAACAGAAATCCTCGGCAGAAATCAGTCTCAAAGTAATAAATATTTGCCCGAAAAATAGAAATCAAACCTAGAATTGTTATTTGTTGAGAATATTGAATGGCCCATCTTTGTTTGTTGGGGGCCATTCACAAAGGATGTCCGGCCAAATGATGGATTTTCAGAAACCCCCCTCCCCCCTTGTCCGGCTTTGTCCGAATTAGTGACCCCCCTCCCCCCGGACATCTGCCATGCCTTGCAAAAACTCACGCAACCTTGTATATATCAAGAGTAAAAAACTTTTTTTACTTTTAGAACTTTTTTATAACTGTAAATGTGAACACAAAAACATATAAATTACTAATTAAAACAAAATCTAGTGTTAACCACATAGTCAAAATGCCAATTTCACAATGGGAAGGACTGCTCAAAATAGAGGGAAAAAAAAAATTGGTTTTGAATTTTTTTAAATTTCGGACATCCGGATTGCTAAAAACCCCCCCTCCCCCTTATGTCCGAGTTTGTCCTGATTTTACAAACCCCCCTCCCCCCCCCCCTCGGCTCGGACATCCTTTGTGAATGGCCCCTTGTTGAAAACATGACAATCAAAATATTAAGGTAACAACAGTTGATTGGCTTCCTTGTTTTTACCGACTTTAATAGCTACTCTTGAAGTGCAAAAGGATAATTTTCAATTCTCGTTCGAAGTTGGTATTTAGCATCACTTTAATACAGACAGTTCCGCTTAATATTCATCCTTTCTCACACGAAATATTTTATAAGCGGCGATGGATAAAAAACCTTTAGCGCGTGATAAACCTTTCGCTCAATTAAAATGACAAAAATACAAACAAATATAATTATAAGCCATGTATTAAGTTGTATATATAAATGATGTTTCACCCGCATGCATGTGTGTCTATTCGTTCATGTTTAAACTGTAAATTAAACTGACACTAGGTGAGGGAATTTTAGTACGAGTAAAAATCCTACGACTCTATCTGCGTTTTCGCTCGAGTTTTCGCTTGCTCTGAGCGAGGGGCATTTCACTCCAAAAAAGCGTACGGGATTTTCGGATTTTTAAAAATCCGCGGATTTTTTAGCGGATTTAGCGGATTTTTCCCGGATTTTTAGCGGATTTTTGAAGAGAAAATTTGCTGGATTTTCCGGATTTGTTCGGATTTTCCGGATTTGTTCGGATTTTTTCTGGATTTTTGAAAATCTGTTGGATTTTCCGGATTTGTTTGGATTTTCCGGATTTGTTCGGATTTTTTCTGGATTTTTTTTAATTATAGAGTTATAGAGCTAGGTAACGTTTTGAACAAATAATCTTAAGTTGTACGATGTCAACGTTATGCCAGGACGTCAGGGTCGAGCAGAGGACTGGGACTAGGACCACAGCTTTCTGAAACTAACGAAGGCTGGGCATGCAGTCATTTTGTTTAAAATTCAAACGAGTTCATTATTCTTTCAAAAACAGTAAAAGACAATGGTGAATAACTTTTGGTTTTGTAATTATATTTTACAACATAACGTCATTGTAACAAGAACACATATTTAGTAGTAATAGGCTAAAAAAAGCCTATAATAAATAAGCCTATCGAGCGTATAAATGGAAATGTAGAGTGGTCCAATAATTACGAAATATAATGACAGCGATCACGGTAAGCGTTTAGCTTTCGCTGCCCGCCATTTTGAACGTGGCAAAGAACCTTTACGAGTAAATTACACCAAGTACTTCATATTTTTTTTTGTGGATTTGCGGATTTTTTAAGGATTTTGAAGGATTTCTGTGGATTTTTGAAGGATTTCTGTGTTTTTTAAAGGATTTTGATGGATTCAACGGATTTTGAGGATTTCATGGATTTTTTCTGGATTTTTTCCGGATTTTTTGACGAAGTGTACGGGATTTTTGGAGTGAATTGCCCCTCGGCTCTGAGATTCAATATGTTGGCCGTCCATAATATGGCATAGGAGTATGGCATAGCATACCGAGCATACACTAGCCTACATATAAGAAGGTCGCACACGACGACGCGGTACTACAGGGTGTATCAAAAAAAACTGAACAGATTTGAAATTGCTCTCAATTTCGCAAAACACCTATTTGTATCCGGTTTTTTATATATATATAGCTTCTTTGGATACTTATAATGTAGAATAATGAAAGAAATTTCTCAAACTCAAATTTTGTGGACCAGGGGTGTGTGTCTTTTCCAACAAACTAAAAATGGCTCGCGCACAAAATTTAAAAGATGTAATCATATTTTGAGTTCATAGATGGAAACTTTGTCGGGTTTTTAATTACTGTACAAAATTTCAGACAATTTGGTTTAGTTTAAGCCCTTTAACTATTTATTTTATTCTAAAAAATCAGCTTTTCGCATGCTTAATTAATGCCTTTACCTAATTTGCATATTGCTGACATATGCAAATTAGGCAAATGCATTAATTAAGCATGCGAAAAGCCAACCTCGTTCCCACGGTATTTGCTCTTGGGAAGCAAAGACCTTGGTGGACGCTGGTCACGTGACCCATAGAAAATTGATAGCCTCAGAGGGGGATGGAAAGGTCTCATATTACATGTTTCCACTTCCGCACTTCACACTTCGATTGCAAGGAGTGGCCGTGCTGTACAATAATCTTTGAGAATCATATATTCTTCAAAATTCTTGCTAAATTGGTTTCTGTTTGCCGTTTTAAATTATACAAACATGGTAAAATGCAGATTCTTGTACTAACAGACAAGTCAGCAAATCAAGCAACGAAAACGTATGACCGTATGGTTTGAAATATTTGCGTTTTTAATATTCTCTCGGGGTTCGGGCGCAATATTTTCATTTCATACGTACGTTTCTGTCCTGGCTCTGCCTCTGGTTCAGATATTTACAATATTCTTATAATATGCCATTGAATTGTTGTCATATAGAAAGGAAACGGTATAAATTTTGT